TTTAATATTCTTGTGGATGTATCTTGTTGGGTATCCATTTTGGACGAAGGTTTCTTTCAGAAGATCCAGTCCAGCTTCCACGATGTCAGAACTGTAGAGATGCGTCGGATGCAGGCAGCAAAGGATTTAATTAGATTTCGTTTTCGTTCAACAGGCATCCAACTGTAGAAACTTATTAGTTAACCCTTCCAGGTAGATTTTCTATGAACTGATCTTCTTTGTCATTTCATCTGAAAATCGTGTTCCCACTTGTTCTCTTCTGTTATTCTTCTTTGAAAACTTACGCAAGATTATCCCAATAATTCCTTGCCTCCTGCTTCCCAATTAATCAAGTATTTAATTATTTTACACTAATTAAGGTAATCCATAAGAGTCGAATTTAATTTGAACAACCTCACTTTGATACATCATTTGGAAATAAGTCAAACGTGGTGTTTATTCACTTATCTCTCTGATTATGCATATAAACATATATATACGTATGTGTGTATGCACGTGAGTGTGATGTAATACCATTATGCAAAAATTTCAATAATTTGAAAGGTATACATAAATCCGTAAAAAATAATTCTATAATTAATTGTGTTTCTTTGATAAAAATAATTTACCGTGATTACGGTGAAAACAGATCATTGATTTTTCTTTTTCATCCTCTTCAAACAGATCGAAATATATATTTTAAACACTAATCATTTATTTATTCTTATTTATAATCTTGAGATGACTTAGCCTATTAGTTTAGACACTTGAGTTCAGATCCAATTCCACTTATATCAGCTTGGAAAACTGGAGAATGGCTCAGTTATCCTTCATACAATCAATGTGGCTCATAGCCTGCTGCATGAAAAACAACAACAACAACAACAACTGTGCTTTGAGTAACTGGATTATAACTAGCTAACCCTAAGGCGAACTCAGTGAATCTGTCTCTTGATAAAAACAACGAACTATACATTGATGACCAGCAGTGATTAGTTAATATAAATAAGTAGTTGAACACTACTCACATCAACCGGTAGAACTTATCAGATAGATAAATACGATTTAAATACAGGACTACAGTTCCACCCTTTTAGAGCCCAACTTCATCAGTGATGTGCCTGGTTGGATTCAGCTCAGAGAAGTGAATCATTCCAGAACAGTAGAATTCTCTCTGACTACTTGGGTGAGCTGGTAACACATTTTGCAAAAGAAATTTTGGTAACATTTCACCAACTGCTGTATAACTTGTAAATCATAAATTTATTTTAGGTATACAATAACACTTAGTGATTGTATTTCAGAGCCGTAATGACAACTGATTGGCTTTAAATCGTTTGACGTCATGAAGTATCTTTAATTAATATCCTTATTTTAGGATTAGGCTTCACTATGGATCAGTATTTAAATAAATAAGAGAAGCTTTGAAAATCAAGAAGTAATAAACAGATACTTCAACCGAAACTGCAACTCTTCAACAACTTCCATTGAGGACCATATACCTTCTTGATTTCAAAGTCGTTCTGTTGTTTAGAGTTGAGTAATCCATCGTTTCCAACTTCTATCGACTTGTAATGTAATCTCAATGTCATGCGGTGCTGTGGTTACGTATTTCTCCCTACACTAACATTTTTCTTAATGTTATTACGGGTGTAACATATGAACCTCAATTACCAGTGGTAGACGTTTTTGTGTCCCACTAGTTATCGTTCTCAGAGTGTATTCTAAAAGTAAAGTGAATTTGACTGAAGAGTGACATCTTTATGCTGTATATCTGCATCAAAAATAAGCTTAATTAGAAATGATTATTGAAATCTGGCTAATTTAGGAGGAAGATATAACTTTTATTTCCCTTTATGAATCTGAATTAAGCAAAAAATACAGCGGTTTTTGCAGAACAAAATGGTACTATCATTTGCTTCGTTGGCCTCTCATCAGCTCAGCTGCTTACGGTTCGAATACATTATTAAGTTTATGTACATAAATAATTTTAGGAAACTTACTCAAAGGGTGTTCATTTCTTAACAACTTCTTATTGTCAATATGTAGATGACACATATGTAGTGTGCAACAACGAAAGTCTTGCTTCCTACCTACTCGGATTATTCAGTGATTTATATACAAATATTGGACTTACAATATGGAAGATAAAAATGACGCAAAGTCTCACTTCCTTGACATTGCCACGCACTGGCTGGAAGATGGTAGTCTCTAGAGATCAATTTACAGAAAACGTACATGAAATGAACAATACTGGCATTTCAATAGTTTTGGTCCAAATAGCCATAAACGAGCATTAGTCAAGACTCTGTACTATAGAGCTAGGAGAATATGCTCTAGAGAGAGAGATCAGAGGAAGAATTTATGCTTCTCGAAAAGATGTTGAACAGTTCACCTCAGAGATCAATCTACAAGTATGGAGATGTGAAGGCTGTAAAGCCAAGCACATCACAGCAGGAGAAAAGCCTATTTTGAAGGTGATAATATTACAGGAATAGTCAACAAACGATCGAATACCTCATCATCCAGAACCCATCCAGCAGCTAAGTTGGTTCCCATATGTTGGACAGCATATTCTGTGGTGCAATCGAAATTCGACAGATACTCTTCTCATGTCAAAATAAAATCGTATCTATAATGGAGTTATACTCTACCACAGTCCCCAAGTTTTATACTTCTCATGCTAACTTTAACTGTACATACAAATTTACGTGTATCTATGGGAGCAATTACACTGGGATCATAGAAAGAATGGTACACCGCCGATTTTTTGAACATGTGCCGAGAAGCCTACGTCTCAAGGGAACAAATGCTTCCAACAGTGCCATCGCCAGACATCTCCTTGATATGGATTATCAGGTGGACTTCACCAGATCGTTCAGAATTGTGATTGGATAAAAGAGTTCAATTCTCCTCAAGTTTGCTGAAGGAATCTCCTTCCATCAAGTGCCTAAAACCCAATTTATGCGTTCAGAAAGAAGCAGTTATCAGTCTTTCCTTAATCTGGCAATTGGATATTCTCATCCTCTCTTTTGTTTGATTGCATAGCGCTCAAACATTGTATCGTGTATGATGATTATTGTATGGGATCAAGTGATTGTTATTGTTGATAACATCGTATGCATATATTGGTTTTTTGTTTAAAAATGAACTTTCTATGTATGTTAAAATCGTTTCTGTATATAGACTTAATAATGTCTTTAGGCTGTAAGCAGCTGGGCTGATGAGAAGCTAACGAAGCGAATGATAGTACTATTTTATTCCGCACAAACTGTTGTTCTTCTTGCTTTATTTAGACACATATTTACTGAAACACATTAAGCTAATAGGCGCATTTGTTTTCAGCTGTTTGACTACTCATCATCTATCAGACAGTCAACGTAATTGTCACACTAATAAAGGTAAGGTGAGGAGCTCCAAATTAAGTGGTTTCGTTAATACTTTTCAAATGAAATCTATGCATTAGACAGACAGTCATTTCTTTGTCTTTCGGTAGTACGGAAATAACATTCGTAGTTACGTAATATTATCAACCTGTAGATCGATCTGTTTTGTCTTTGTTTGTTCTAACTAATAATTATCATCATTCATATCTCCATTTACATTAATGTAGACTCTTTGGCACCACAGTGACGCAAAATACTAAATAATTCCTCAGTTATTATTGCTACTATTTTTTCATTGCTCTATTAATGATATACATAATATGGATTCATTGATACGTATCAATTACACTTAGTTCATTGTTATCACTTTCAGCTGAGTCAGTGACTATCCACAAGCTTTCCTCTCTTCTTCATATATGACCTACTTCCGGTCACCCTTAGACACCCAATCTATCTCTTTTTATTCGAGTCCCACTCGAGGCCAGTTTGTGTGGGATTTTACAATATTGTCTAAAAGTGCCTATAAGAAATCAAAATAGTCACTGGTGAATAAATGTGGATACTATTTTCAAAAACTTCCTTCACTTGAGGCTCTACAACGATGTGTTCACATTTTTTTCCTTCACGTTCCTCGTGGAACATAGGGCCTCAAGCTAGTGGCTTGAAGTTTCCGTAGCAGTGTTTAATTTTACAGGATGAGGTTGCTAGCCTCATACCCAACCTTTCCTAATTACCAGAATTGTTTCTGGCTTAGCGAGGTAAAGGAGTGAGTCGGTTGGGGATGGAACCCCGGATCATGTGCATGGTCGGCAAGCGTCCTAACCGCTGTGCCACCGACGCACATTAAATAAGGAATAATTATTATTGACAACAATAATGTTTCTTTTTAAAATTACATTGAATCATTACAATCAAAACTCCCGGAAGTCAATTTAAGTAAATTGTCACTGGTTTACAGATCCATTATATGCACACAACAAGATGAGAGGATCTGGAAGTCAGTTATTAAAAGTAAATCATCATGAATAACCATGAATAACAGTTAATAATATACTAGTCAATGCTCGTGAATAGTGTTTAAAAAGAGTTAGAATCCCTAACAGTATTGATGGTAATAAATTACATAAATCATAGTTTTCGAGTATTGGTTTTGTAGGGATTTTGTTTGGTTGGTTGGAGGAGTTTATCATGAGCTGACATCAGTTAGAGAATCATTGGAAAACCACCCGGGAGTACTGGACAGTCATCTGTTATGTCAGGCCAGTTTGGGGCTCTGGTCCAGCAGTACGCACCTACACCACCGACAGGGTCCGAACCCACAACCTTCCGATTACAAGATGATCTAGCTCGTAGACCATTCAGCTACTAAGACTCGATCCAATACCCAGCCCATGAATTCTAACTTCTGCCAATTCATGACATAGAGCGACCACTTCGAAATTTCTTCTTCGATGAGTAACTGTTCTCACCTTCAGACTGCTGTAGCCTATTGGTCATGGCTTCCCACTAGAACCCCAGCTCATAATGAATACCTCCAACCAATCAATCATAGTCTCATGTTTCGCTACTTTTTCCAAATTTAAATCTTGAGTTTAATCTAATCAATAAATCATTAATTTAAAAAAAATATTACAGGTATAAATTCATCTGGAGTGGAATCATCCTCTATTGAACACAATAAATCCATTAATAATTTATCAGTGAATCAATTCAAACGTCATGATGTTCAATGTTCCAATGATAAAGAAAATTATTATAATAATGATAACAACAATAATAATACTTTTCATGAGCTTAAACAAACTAACATATGCAATCAATTAAAGAAATCAAAAAATCATTCTAGAAATCGTACAGCATTTACAGATTATCAATTAATATGCTTAGAACGTGAATTTAATCAATTAAAATACTTATCACGTATTGATCGAATTCAATTGGCGCAAAATTTAAATTTAAGTGAAAAACAAGTGAAAATATGGTTTCAGAATCGTCGTGTTCGTTGGCGAAAAAGAAAATCCTTGGAGTCGAAGTAAAAGTTAAAACGGATGATGAAATCAAAAATATTCAAATTTTTTTTACAGAAAAGTTTTTCTTGATTTTGTAAAGAACAAAGATATTTTTCAAGAAATATTTTTATTTTTGTTTTAATAGAATTTTGTAATTTGATTTATATGAATAAATGTTTGAAATACTTTACATTCATATTTTAAAATAAAATCATATCGGGAAATATGATAAGTAGTAGTTGTTGGGATGACATATTAACAGAGGGATGGTAGTAAATAGGTCAAACTGTTGTATATTAGCGGGTTTTTCACCCAGTATTTTCATAGATTTCCTTGGTGTTGTCTAGTTATTGATCTTATATGCTCACTTAACTATGAGGTAAACGTCATTCATTTTCTACACTTCGAGAGGTCTTCGAAAGGATTGACGTTGAGAAGCACAAATGAATGGGTATTTTCTTAAAATTACAAAAGCACTTAGGGAAAAATAGATGTTTTGGAATTAGTTGTGTTCTCTGAGCTGGTTGGTTTAATTACGGAGCTTTCGTCGTCCTTCTGGACAACATTTTCAGAGCATGTTTTAGCATAAAATGGACTGAATAGATATTTCAATAGAGTAGTGTAGTTTAACTGAATTTTAGATTTTCTCCAGTGACGATTCCCAGATAGGAAGAAATGCGCATCCTGGATTCCACTGCTAGTCACCATTCACCAATTAAATTGTAGAGTAGTGTAGTATTGTGGATAGACTTGAGCACTGATCGTTAAAGAACAAAATAAGCAATCTTTATGAAAATTAGTGTTTAGCTTATTAAAACTTATGTTTTGGGGTAAAGGATAAATAAAAGACAAAAATTTCAAAGGTAAAAGAACTGTTTGACCGCTAAGATGCCATTATGTAAAGGAAGTTTATTCAAGACTATGGTGAGTTGGTGATTCCATGGTAGATAGTTTGATTGCCAACTACACACATGGTCTGCATTCAAGTACCGGCGAAATTATTCATCAGCCTCACTTTACTGGTAGTAAGTCCGGTAAAGACGGAAGAATGGGTGGGGCTTACAACCCCTTACAACCGCTAGTGGAACTTCAAAGATCAAGGTTGATGCCCTACGTTCCATTCAGGGTGCAAGTAATCATAGTTGGCTAGATTGCTTTGGATAGCTTAGGTTCGCATATTATTATTATTATTCGTGTAACGCATAGTGATGTGTGTCTGTGACACATTAGTTAGAACGTTTGCCGACCATGCAAATAATTAAGGTTCGATTCCCGGTAGATGCACACCCGATATCAATGGTCGGTCTGCTAAATTTGGGCTGCCTATATCACATGCTGAAAATTCCATACTTGTACCAAAATACTGTGCGGAATGAAGCTATAATAAAGTAAAAAAATAAAATAAATGATAAATATCGAATAAAAATCATGATAGCGTCAGGATTTGACCCTCCAGCCTCAAAACTACTAATGCAGCTGAAGCACAGAACCTTCTTCCTTCTTTATGAATAGGCGTTAAAAAAATGGATAGATTGAGCATCTAATGTAATGACGTTAGAAGGAGAGTTACATAACTCCTAGTTACATGCCGACCCGTGTTGATTGTAGTAGGATGAAAATCTGACTAGCAGTAGTATCATGTAGATGAGTTGGTAGAGTATTGGAGCTGAAGTTGACAAACGTATTAAAGAGAAATATTGTTATCTGAACAGGAGGAGGAGATCGATTAATCAATAAAGCTTCCTTCATCTATTCAACATTCAACACGTATAGTAACAATAGTGCAACACTAGTCCAAGAAATATAAGAGACTGTATTAGGACGAAATAGAAAGGAGTAGAATTTTGTTGAACCAATTAAAGAAAGCTCAAGTTAATACTTTAAGATGATTATGTACAACAAGTTGTCCCGAAAACGTCAACCAATTATGAATACTGTAGTACTGGTTTTTCTATCAGATCAACTTTTCCAATATTATGAACATAGTGCTTCAAAAGAACATCTCCGTTTTGTCCTGTCCTCTAAAGTCCTATTCAGCTTGCCCCATCACTGTCCATAAGCTTTAATCTCCTTCCACATCACACGTTCTCCTCCATATCATCCCCGAACCAACGCCCAACTCGTCATTTCCCGCTTGAGTTGTGGCCTGGCAAGTGATGTCACCCAACTGTCTCCTCAGTCTGCGTCCGATCCATTTCCATTCTCTTCAAGATATTTGCTGAGAGATTGGTTCTTTATAAGTTCGTTGCCAAAATTTCTTGTTCCTAATTCTTTCTGGCCAGGCATCTGATCTTCAATATGGGAGCCAGTGAAGGTGACAGCTGTGTTGATAAAAGTCTGCGGCAGGTTGTTTCAAATGCATTTTGGGCTGCTTCAAGTTTCAGAGCCATGTAGAAGAACTGGCTTAACACTGGACTAAAATTACGGAAAGATGAGGGTAAAACAGAAAGATATCAGTGTTAAATATGTGATAAGTAAACTAACATAGTATTTGGTCACATGCTAAGCCCTCGAATGGTACTCAAATAGGAGGTGATAGTTTGAGTATCCAAGGCTGATATGGAGATTTTGTGTATAGGAAGTGAAAGCTTGTAGGAAGTTGTGAGCCATAAACTGGACTCCACACTTTCCTGATACGTTTTTCTCATAAACACTTAATGAAAGTGAAGACTGTTGTCATGGTGAGATACTTGATGTAGGTACAGTCTAAATATTTAAATTCAAGCTTAATATTTACACATCAATAAAAGTAAAAAACTTTACTTCGTATTCATTCATTTTTAGCCTTTCATTGTGAGAGTTAAAATTCAGTAATTGTATGATAACATATTTACTTTGGTTATATAAACATTTTCAAAAATCATTAGTATTTAGATAACACAGTTCTGTTCTACTTTGAGACTATTTAGCAGTGGACAGTTATGGTATTACAACGGTAGAAGACGAAAGACTTGGTAAAAGCAACTTCAAGTACTGGTTTGTAGGGATTTGATTGGTTTCACGATTTCATCATGAGCTGACACTGGTTAGAGAACCAATGAAAAACTTGGGAGTACTGGACAGATGTGTCGTCCCAGTTTGGGACTCTTCACCAGTACGCGCCCATCGGGATTCGAACCCAGGACCTTCTGGTTACAAGGAGAGCTCGTATACCATTCAGTCACTGGAACCCGATCCAGTGGCCCATGAATTCCAACTTCTGCCAATTCACGACATAGCGCGTCCGCTAGCCAATGTCTTCAGCGATTATTTGTCGTCACACCCAACCTGCTGTACCCTACTGGTCACGACTTCTCACTAGAACCTCAGGTAACTAGCTACCTGAATAGGGCAAGTCGCTAGTGAGCATCTCATCGATATTCAAGTGTTGGTTTTTAGGGATTTGATTGGTTACAGGATTTCAAAGAAACTTTATTTGCAATTTTGTTTGCACCTTATTTTCAACTCGCAATTTGCACAGAATTTCCGTGTTGTGATACTTCCTGCTTTCCTTCATATTGTGTTTGTTTCTTTGTGTTTTTTCTCACATTTCCCACGTATCTTCACAACGCTGAGTCATCTGCTTTCTCTGGCATAAAATCGATCTCTCTGTTATTTGATGTTTCTTATGTCAATGAACATCTCTTTGTATATATATATATATATATATATATATATACTACTAACAAATCTTATCAGTAGCAGAGGCCACAATATCACCAGTAACTGATTTAAGCATATTCATCATTCATTCATTTGCCTTGAAGTCAACAATCCATGAAATCCAACTTTTATCAATTCCCCAATATTAGCGCCTTCATGAACCAGTCGGACGTGAAGATGGATATTCACTAATGACATAAGTGATGATGGACGAATCAAAATGAAATATGTGCTTTAATTAATCAGACTCCTGTAAACTTAATATTTAAATATTTCACATGATTATTGTTGGCATCAGAAAATAATACTAAACTGGAGCATGTAAAACATGTAATAGTAAATTAGAAATTTGAAACCAAGATGGAAGTATTCTATATCCAGTCGGTCATGAGTGTAACCAAAGTTTCTTTTATCCAGTTCTAACTGTCACTGCACACTAAAAATGTTAACAATTTTATTCATGATGGTTTCACAGGTGAATACTGATGAAGAGTTCCAAACTGGATCGAAAGCAGCTGTCCAGTACCTCTTGTTGCTCAGTAGTTCTCGAGATTATGTCAATTCATGATCTAACTGGAAATCGATCTGATTCCTGCAAACCAACGCTTGAAACTCGGCATAATAGTCACTAGCGACTGACAACAAGATGAAGTTGCCCCAAGTTCTACTCAGGAGTCTTGGAGTCCAAGTTGAGTATATATGCAAACACTCGTTGATGACATTGGCTAGTGGTTGCGCTATGCACTGTATAGGCCACTGAATTCTATCTCAGTGTCTATGATCAGCAGGCTCGCCTATTAATTTGGGGTTTCTAGATTCAATTTATGGTGGGTTCATATATCCGCAATGCTGAAGAGTTCCGAACTAGGCCTGTACAGCTATTCAGAATACCCTGGTTTTTATTGTTACTGTAAATGGTGTCAGCTCGTAACATAACTTGGGACTACGATAGTAAAATACAAATTGTAATTCTGTAGATTTTAGCCAGGAATCCTCAACCCACAGTGTTCCAAGTGAGCATCAAACCAGATAGCTAATCACTGATTGGTCTCTAAAGATGAGTCAATGTCATATATCTAGTGTCTAATCTTGATAAAGCCTGAATCCTTTTAGTTGAGTATACTATGTGATTGTCAAACGAGGTGACTCACTGTTACAGTGCACTTTGAATTTATGTTAGATTATTGGAAGCAATTAGCATAAAGCCCTGGACATGGATTCTGTGCTTCTTCGCGCTTGTCAGTAAGGGTTATGTGCCTCCAGTAACGTTTATGATTGTAGTATTAATCTAGGCGTATTGACAATTGCAAGTTAAGGTGAGCTGCAAGTACCCTTACATTGTGTTGCCTAATTAATACTTTTAAATGTGCTAGATGTGTCAATGGTTCAATGACGCCATGCCCCTCAACCGTGTAGACAGATCAGGTTCAGTTCCTGACTGACACCCTCCTAAATCTTGCCTGGTTTACCAACTAGTAGTCAGTAAGTAAAAGAATGAAAGCTGGACGTAAAGCTAGCAACACTCCAATCCGCAAAAGAAACAACCTCA